CCCATTGTCTCGGGTTTGATTCACCTTTGGCACAAGTTTGTCCATTTATTTTCATTTCAATTAAGTGGTGACACGTGTCACCACCTGCTTGGATAGAAAAATTATTTAATTAAATAATTTAAAATTCATAAATAAAACATTTCAATATATATTGACACATGTCACGTTCTAATTGGATAATTATATTTATTTAATTGAATTAAAATAGTTACTAAATTGATAGAATATGTAAATATTAAGGACTAAATATATAATTATGATAATTTATTAATGGACACATCACCACTTCTGTTAAAAATTAACTGTTCGGTGGCTTGATTGAATCAATTAAATAGTTGAGTGGTCTGATTGATTCAATTGAAAGTTCGGTGGTCACATTGAATTTTGACCATAGTTTAGAGGTCTCCCGTGTAATTTACCCTAAATCTTAATTTAGAATCATATCATTAAACCAAACACTTAGGCTGGCTTATCCTTCCACATCAAATTTAGCTTGTTTACCTTTTTCTGGATTGATGCTATCATCATCCAACTTTATTAAAAAAATATCTTGTGTCGAAAAGACCCATTGCAGTGACAGTAATGGCCGCAACACTCGGTTTCATCCCCAACCCCCTTTGCATTTCAATCTTAAGAATCCACAATAAAATCCCTGTTCTTCGAAAACCCATCCCCTCTTCTTCTTTATCCTCCCTCACTTCCCCTCAAATCCGCCCTTCTTCTTCTATCACATATTCCTCAAATTCAAACCAAAACGACACCTACCCTTTATCCTTGCTAGAAAAAGAAGAGAAGAAGAAGACTTTGAATATGAAGTTGAAGAGCATGATAGTAATGATGAGGAATATGACGTTGGGATTGAAGATGGTAAAGAGGGTAGCCCTGTAAATTTGGGTTTGGAGGTGGTCGGGAGAAATACCCAGGCTAAGAATGTGAAACTGCCGAATCTGACGATTAAGGAAAAGAAAGAGCTGGTTTCTTATGCACATGGTTTAGGGAAGAAATTGAAGTGCCAACTGGTGGGCAAATCTGGTGTTACAGATAATGTCATCTCCTCTTTTCTTGAGACCCTTGAAGCCAATGAGCTTCTAAAGGTACCATCTTTCATTCTTTTTTAATTATGCCGTTTAGGGTTTAAGGCCTTTAGCTTTTTGTCACTGGACATTCTTTGAATTATCATAATAATTCACCTAATTCTTTTTGTAATTTGATGTTCAACTTAATGTGTGATTGTATTTGCTTTGAAGTTATTGATTCATGTCAATTGATGCATTCTAAGCTACGGGTAATCTATTAAAGTTATTTTTCCTATTACATTCAAGTGACTTGTATGATAAATAAGTAGATAAAGTATACCTTTTTTTTATCTATTTTTCATCTAAATGAGTATTCAGTTTTTTTCAAGCAAGTACCTAAAGTATTCTTTAAACAATGTCAAATGTCAACTTTTTTAGAACTTAGATGAAAAAGATTGACTATTTTAGGTACCTATTTTTACCAAAAAAATACTTTAGCTACCTGTTTTGATCAGAAATACTTTAGGTACATAAAAGACTTTGGATACTTATTTGTAATATAAACATATTCAAGTTGGTTAAAATTATCAGCTTAGAAGCTAGAACTACTTGTCGGCCATTGCATCTCCATTTGCATAGAGAATCTGTATGTGTAAGCAGAAAACATAACATACGTTCCAGCTTCGTTTTATGTTTATTGGGAATTAAAGTTTATATGGATCTCCAATGTTTGAGATTGAGGCTGCTGTTGGTGAAGATGCAGTGTGGTTTCTTGCATATTTCATCTTTTGAGTTGAGAAATATTTGGTATATCTGTGTTTTAACTTAAAACTTCATTAACAGATCAAAATTCACCGGACTTGTCCAGGAGAGCTAGAGGTTGTGGTGAGCCAACTGGAGCAAGCAACTGGCTCGATCGTCGTCGGTCAAATTGGTCGACTGTGATCATATACAGGCCTAGTCTCACCAAAATGAAGGCTGAAGAGAAAAAGAAAGAGTTTCAAAGAGCTTTTATGAGAAGGCAATCAAATCTGAAACCTGCATTCATGGTAAAGACTATAGACAGTAAAAGAAAACAATCTCTGTTAGTTATTGTATCCTCTTGTACAACCCCTCTAATCCCCCTCTTGATTTATGCAGAAGAAAGGAACGTTACCTGGATTCTCAGCAATGCAGAAGAGAGGACTTTTATCCGGACGTGGTAGAAGGGGAAGCAGCAGGGGTTTAAATACCGATTCTCAGTAATGGTAGTTTCTAACTTCCAAGAATTAGATTTGATATGCAATTTGAGTTCTCAGTTGATATAGTTTCTAACTTTCAAACTGGTCAACAAATGAGCATAGATCGTATGTTTATATTATGCAGCATAAATTTGGATTGAAAGACAGCAAATTACATGATTTTGAGTAAAATCCATAACCTCTGTCATGGTATTTCCCCTGTGCTAGTCTGCTACTTGTATATGATCTTTGACTGGTCTGAAATTTGCATTTACCTATAAGATATTATATTTAAGATTTGATGAGTTTTTCGTGTGATTTTATATGCAGTTTGGGTTTCCCCCGTCATTGTCAAGTGATTTAGATTAGATGGCTTTGTTTAGGGGTTAAAAGAATGATTTAGTCTTTGATCTAGCAAGCTTTTTCCAACTGTATCTTTGAATTTTATCTGAAGATGATCACAATTCCTACAGAAAAGGAGGAAAATCTTAGTAAAATTAAGGGCAATCCAAGAGAAAGCAAAAACATGGTTACTTGAGGCGGTTTAAATTAAATAATAATAATTATTAAGGGCAATCTAAAGGAAAATAAAAACATGATCGTGTATTGTTTGTGATTCGGTCCTTTAAGATTCTGAATTGATATGTGATCTATGGTGAGGACCTCAAACATTAATGTGTTCATAGATTAGTTAATAAATCTATATGATGGACTAATCAATTATCTCATAATTAAATTAAGATTATTAAGGTTATGTTAGTGTTAGAGTCGTCCCAGACATTTTTTGGTACCAAATGAAAAATTCAAAAATAAGCCCCTATAGAATGAAATTATATTCCACTACTTTAAACAATTAGTTTAATATTACGCTAATAAATCATATAAAGATAATTAGATTTTGTCAAGTATATTATTTTTATTGTTTTGTTAAAAAACACTTTAAATATAATTAAGTAGGGTTGTTCGTTCGGTTAATTCGGTCATCAACCGAACCGAATTTTCATTAATCAAATTATTTTTTCTTTAATCGTTAATTGAATTGAACTTTTTTTTTTAAAAAATATATTAATCAAACCGAACAAAGTTCGGTCATCGACCGAATTAACCAAAATTTTACTTATTTAGATTAATTTAAATTTAATAGAGCTAGTTTTTATTTGAGTTAAAATTTAATTAGGTTTCGATGATTTAATGGGTCTAGTGTGGTTAAAAAAATTAATTGAGTCTTAATTCTTAATAGATTTGAGCTTAAAATATGTATTCAATATACGATATATTTAGTATTTTTGTTGATTCGATTAATTAATTAATTTCGAACCAAATTAAACGTTAACATAATAATAGAAAAAAGTAACCCTTCCTTGATTGAACTGATTCAGTGGTCGATCATTTTAATCGAACTAATTCGGTTCAACCGGTTAATTCGATCAAAACCGAAAATGAACAGCCTTATAACTATGAGAGAATAAGTAAAAGTAAATTTGAACGTGGGCATTAAATTAAAATTATGAAGAATGATGTATTATTTTATCGTTAGATTGAAATTGGATAAGACTAAAAGTTGAGGAATATTTGGTAAATTTGAAAAATGAGATTTGAAAAAGAAATTAAAATATAATTTAATTTATTTTAAAATTGAATGAATTGATTTGAAATTAGAGAAGATAATCGAAAATTAAGAATCTTACAGAATTGAAGGGGAAAAAAACTAAATCCGCAATTATAAATATAGAAATTAGAATTCGATTATAAACATATAAATTATAGACCCTAATTATAAATATATAAATTAAGACCCTCTATTAATAAAAAGAATTGGGCCCCGAGTAATAACTCAGGGTAATTAATCCCCTAAGAGCCGAACCTCGTTATTGTTTCTTTTAATTAATGTAACATTGTCGATATTTTTACTAAATTAGATTGAAGGTATTACAAATGTTCTATTATCAATTTGATAATATATATTTATAACAACCTATTTAAATAGAAAAAATATTTAGTTAATGGATCAAATCTAATATAAATAATATGATAAAATGTCACGATTGTACAATTGTTAAGTATAATATTGTGAATCGATCAAGCTGAATTAATGTTTAAAATTTTCATGTAGTTTAATTAGTTATTTAACTTTAATGACTAAAATTTACGTAATTCATGATAATTTAGTACATACACGAAGATTAAATTTCTTTAAAAAATCCTTGAATTAGATACTATATATATTATTTGCATCATCAATAATAATTCAAATGATTTATGGAAATATATAATGTTATGTACGATCAAATATGTTCTGTATACGAGTGAAAAATGAAAATTTATTATGTTAATAAGATTGTTTAACGTCATCGTTAAATTTTATCAACGGATCAATATTATTGTTTAGTTTATATAAACAAGTGTATTTCAAAAATATTTTCTCAAAAAAAATTATTTAATTTTGTATAGGATCCAACGATTATAACATTTTTTTATAGAAATTACTAAAGTGGTTTTAAGTAGCATTTATAAAAGAAAATAAAAAAATCAAAAAGAAAAACTTTTATATCTTTTTCAAATTAATTTATACTTAAAAAAAAGAACTTTTTGAATAACCCTCTAGAGATATGTCTATAAGTTTCTCTTTCCAAATACGTTTGTTTGTTTGTTTTAATGTAGAAATTTGTTTTGTTGAGAGCCGTTTCCCTCAAATTCCAGGTCTTCTTCCCTCAAATTACAGGTATCCCCACTTTCCCTTCTACACAACGGAACTTTAGGTTTACAATTTTGAATTTTCTAAATAGTTTCAATTTGGTATGTGTATTTCTCTCTACCCCTTTTCCTATTTCATCCAAGTTTTTAACTTGGGAAATTTTATGCGTGGGTTTAGGGTTTTATATTAATTGTTATGGTTCTTTAATTTATGTCAAATGCAAGGTTTTGTCGTGGCTGAAGGCGAAATGGAGAGAAGATTCAAGGAAAAAATGGAGTTAAGGCTCAATAATTTGGATAATTTGAAAAATCAGAATTTGAGATTGGAATCGTTAAGGATTGGGAAGGAGATGAATTGGGAAAAAGGGAAAGTGATCAGTAAAAATAATATTGGGGTTAAGAAATTACATGATGTAAATGTTGGGGAAGGGATTATTGATCAGCCCAAGGAAGAGGTCCAGATTGATGAATTAGTTGAAGGCTAGGAGGACAACCCACCTACGGAGTCTATTGAAAATGCCGTTGGAAGGAATCCAACCAAGAAGTAATATGTTACGCTACCAGACAAAAGCATTGACACCTGCAAACAAATAATTGGTGGTTGTTAGTGCATTAGAATATATATGCCTCTGATATGTAATTGAGAGCTTTATGATGAATTTTGAATGAAAACACTTTATTCTCAATCTTTTCTTCTTCTCTAAAACCTAAAACAATTTTATTTTTTATCATAAGTTCGTGACAATTGGTATCCAGAGCTAGGTTATTTGATCCAAAAGCGAGATTATTATTTTTTACTTATTGGAATGCCTAAAAAAGCTACAAAAATGGTTGAAACCAATCCGATCGATTCAATAGAAAATTTACATGAGGATGTGCCGGAGGAGGTACCGAGGTGGTGGGAAGCTCAAAGAGATAATTGAGAGTAACGTTTATCCACCTTGGAATCTCAGTCCACAGAGGATTCTTCAGATGATAGCCAAAAGTGCAGATGAAGGAGATCAACTGACTCCAACAAGCAGCAAGAAAGGAGTTGATCCACCTGCATCAAAATCAGAAGGTAAGAAACCTTTTAAAGTTACTGTGATTAATGAGCATGAAAGATATTCTTTTAAACCTAGAGAACCATGTATTTTAACATCTAAACCTGTTGATAAGCCATATGAACCTACCCTACCAACTATTCAATCTTTGCGATTGGGTAATGCTGGAGATGAATCAGGGGAGCATTCCAGTGCTATTCATGCTAATGTTGGGGCTTCTATTTCGTTTTCTAGACCGAGGATTGAACTTCAGTTATTTGATGGCTCAAATCTTAGGAGTTGGCTGCAGAAATGTCAAAAATATTTCAGAATATTTGCTATTCCTGAACCTCAACAAGTTGAAATATCTTCTATGTATTTGATTGGGAAGGCTGAAACATGGTTTGATGGGTATCTTATGCACAAACATTAGGTCACTTGGCGTGAATTTGAGGCTGATTTGTGTCACAGGTTTGGCAGTAGCACATATATTGATATTGTGGATGAATTCAACAAATTACTTTAAAAGGTATTGTTTACCTTTCATCATACGACAAAATCCTCACCTTAGGGAAGAGTATTTCATTTCTAGCTTCATCAGCAGATTAAAGGATGAACTGAAGAATAGAGTTCGAGCACATGAACCTAAGTCTCTGGTTTCCATATTTAAACATACTAAACTTCATGAACTTGCTGTTGAAATTGAGAGTAAAAGGTTCAGAACTCCTGTTAGGAATTTCTACAGTTCTGACCAAAATTCCATGACGAGGAATTTTCCTTCACCTAATCTGCCAAAGTCTAATACTCCTCCTGCCAATACTAAACACAGTCTTATGGATTATAGAAGGGCTAACAACCTTTGTTTTAAATGTGGAGAGAAGTTTACTCTGGGACTCCAATGTAAACTGAAGCAATTAAATTGTATGGAAGAAAGGGAATTCTTGGAAAATGTGGATGAGTAGAATGATCAGCAGGCAGAATTACCAGAATCTGCTAATCAAATTACAGGAGACAAGGACTTAGAAATTTATATTAATGTTAACTAGTCAGGCTAGTTTTGCTACTTTGCACATTCAGAGTACTGTAAAAGAAAGACCCTTAAATATCTTGATTAACAGTGGTAGCACCAATAGTTTTGTAACTGCTGGTTGGGCTAAAGAAGGGGTAGAGGTTTTTTATACTAGACCTCTTTCCATCACTGTAGCAAATGGGGAGAAACTTTACATCACTCTCACCAGTAAGCAACTTCAATGAAAAATGCAGGAACACCTCTTTGAACATGATTTCAGAGTCTTACAACTGGGAGGTAGTGACATGGTTCTAGGAGTTGACTGGATGCATAAGTACAATCTTATTTTGATAGATTTTAATGAGTTGACATTGACTTTCAAAAAGGATGGCCAACAAATTCTATTGCTGGGAGAGAAAAGGCTGTCAACCGTTAAGTTACTTTATGAGAATAGATTGTATAGAATGGTTGCTAAAGATGTTCTTTTTGCTGGTGAATTATATTTAATGATTACTGAAGAGGACCGATTTTTCATTCCAGCAGATTTGCAACCAATATTACAAAAGTATGTAGATGTCTTTGTTGAACCTGAAGGTATGCCACGTGAGAGATGCCAAGACTATGCCATTATCCTTAAAGAATGTGCTCAACATGTTAACCTACGCCCATACAGATTTTCCCATCATCAAAAGGCGGAAGTTGAGAGGTAGATCAAGGAGATGTTAGCCTCTTCCATTATACAAACAAGCAAGAGTTATTTTGCCTCTCCTTGTTTGTTGGTTAAAACGAAAGATGGTTCATGGAGGCTTTGTGTTGATTATAGACAATTGAATTCAATTACTATTAAAAACAAATTTCCAATTCCAGTGGTAGAGGATCCTTTGGATAAATTGGCTGGTTCTCAATATTTTTCTAAAATTGATCTCAGATCTGGTTATTGGCAGATTCAAATAAGAACCGGTGATATTGAGAATACTACTTTTCGAACTCACCATGGCCACTTTGAGTTCAAATTCATGCCGTTTAAATTGACAAATGCTCCAGCTACCTTTCAAACACTTATGAATGAAGTCTTTGGACCATATTTAAGGAAATATTTCTGGTGTTTTTGATGACATTCTCATTTATAGAAGGTCTATGGTAGATCACAAAACACATTTAAAGAAAATTTTGAACATGTTGAGGAGGCATCTGTTATTTGCTAAAAGAAGTAAATGTTTTTTGGGCAAACTCAGATGGAATATTTGAGCCATATAATTTCAGCTCAAGGTGTGGCTACTGATTCAACAAAGATTGCAACTATGAGAGATTGGAAATTGCCTACCAATTTGAAGTCTCTTTGAGGATTTCCAGGTCTCACATGTTATTACAGTAAGTTTATAAGAAACTATGGGATGATTAGCAGGCCACTGACTGACATGTTAAAAAAGAACAATATCACTTGGACACTTGAGTCTAAGGAAGCTTTTGAAACTCTTAAATCAGCCATGTGCCAAGCTCATATTCTTGCTTTGCCAGATTTTAGCAAACCATGTTGTTTGGAGACAGATGTGAGTTCTACGGGTATAGGGGCTGTTTTGTCTCAAGATGAGCGCCCAATAACTTATTTGAGTAAGGCTCTAAGTCCTAAACATGTTTATATGTCTTGTGTGAAAGGGAGTACCTAACTATTTTTATTGCAGTGACTAAATGGAGACACTACTTTGAAGGGGTTCCATTTGTCATTAAGATTGATCATGAGGCACTTAAACATATCTTAGAGAAAATATTAACTACTTTCATTCAAAAGAAGTGACTCACTAAACTTCTGAGATTAAATTATAAAATCCTTTACAGAAAAAGAATGAGTAATTTGGTTGTTGATGCCTTGTCCAGAAAATCAGAAATTGAATTACAACAGTTGACTGTCACAACTATTGTTCCACAGTGGGTTCAAGACCTTGAAAAGAGTTATGCAAAGGATGACTTTGCAAAAGAAAAAAATTATAGCATTGAGTGTCTGCACAGAGCCAATGGACTTTTACTCAAGGAGTTTTGAGGTTCAACAAAAAAGTTTATGTGGGCAGTACTAGGGGGTTAAGGCAACAAATTTTGTCCCTTTTGCATGCATCCCTTTTGGGAGGGCATTATGGAATACAGGCTACAGTTTATAGAGTTCAACTCTATTTTCACTGCTCTGGCTTAAAAAAACAGATCAAGGGATTTATTAGTCAGTGTGAAGTGTGTCGGTGACTAAAATTGAACATTCTCACAAGGCTAGTCTCCTGCAACCACTACCAAAACCCCATTAGGCTTGGGAAATGATTTCCATGTATTTCATTGAAGGATTTCCATGTATTTCATTGAAGGATTACCCCTTTTAAAATTGAACATGCTCATTTCATTTCTTTGAAACATCCTTATACAACAGTTGATTTGGCCAAGCTTTACTTGGCTCAAGTATACAAATTACATGGTCATCCCAAGTCTATTGTGTCAGATAGGGACAAATTATTTACAAGTATTTTTTGGAAAGAATTTATGAAGCAAGTAGGCACAAAAACTCACTTTAGCACTACATATCATCTTGAAATGGATGCTAAGACCGAACGAGTAAATCAATGTGTGTAACAGTACCTAAGGAGCATGTGTTTTCTTAAACCTACTGCATGGATTGATTGGTTACCACAAGCAGAGTGGTGGTACAACACCAACTTTCACACTTTAGGTATAACCCCTTTCGAGGCTATGTATGGGTATAAACCCCAAGTTCTATCTTAGGGCAATCAGTCTATACTACATACAGTACATGAGTTGTTAGATAAGAGAAATGCCATGAACAAAATTCTATAAGATTAGCTACAGGAGGCTCAGACGCGAATGAAAGCCTATGCAGACAAAAAGTTCACATATAAAGAGTTTCAAGTGGGGGATCGTGTTTACCTTAAGATATAACCATACCAACAAACGTCCCTGGCACTTCGAAAGAACTTAAAACTTGCTGATCGATTTTTTGGTCCCTACACAGTGATTCAACGAGTGAGACTAGTAGCTTATAAACTAAAATTGCCTGACCATTCAAAAATCCACCATGTTTTCCTCGTCAGTCTTTTAAAAAAGAAAGTAGGTGAACATACGATTACCTCACTCGATTCACCTGAGATTGATGTTGATGGAAACTTGAAGGTATACCCAGCTGGTGTGTTAAACAAAAGGATAGTGAAACGAAATAATCAGGCAGTTACACAACTCCTGATTCAATGGACAAATTTGGGGAAGAAAGATGCAACGTGGGAAGACTACACTGTTCTGCGTGCCTAATTTCTAGATTTTGATCCTTGGGGACAAGGATCGTCTGAAGAGGGAGGTATTTCCATGGATGAAGGTGAAATGGAGAGAGGATTCAAGGAAGAAATGGAGTTAGGGCCCAATAATTTGGGAAATTTGGGAAATCAGAATTTAAAATTGGAATCATTAGGGATTGGGAAGGAGATGAATTGGGAAAAAGGGAAAATGATCAGTAAAAAGAATATTGGGGTTAAGGAATTACCTGATGTAACTGTTGGGGAAGGGATTATGGATCAGCCCAAGGGAGAGGTCTAGATTGATGAATCAGCTGAAGGCCAGGAGGACAGCCCACCTATGGAGTCTATTGAAAATGCCATTGGAAGGAATCCATCCAATGAGTAATCTGCTATGCTACCAGAAAAAAAACATTGACACCTGTAAACAAATAATTGGTGGTTGTTAGTGCATTAGAATATATATATGCATCTGATACGTAATTGAGAATTTTATGATGAATTTTGAATGAAAACACTTTCTTCTCAATCTTTTCTTCTCTATTTCATCCTAATTTCGTGACAGATTTATACCCATCAATAATCTTTATACTTTGCGCTATAGCTTTACCTTCTTTTTTGTAACCACAAAAATATTTGTTGCAAGTTCTCTCTGTTATAATGGTTTGTTTGATCGTTTACTTGCAAAGCAATTTTATCCCTTTTGTTTTAATTTTAACATTGTGTTTATATCAGTTTTACTTTAGTTATAGTAATTGTTGCTGTGAGAATTTACTTGGTTCGTGTTGTTTCTCCTCCTATAGTTATTTGAAGCATGCCAATTTTCTTTTTGGACTCTAAGGGAGAGAGAAAAACTTTTATGTTGAAATTTTGATGAGGGTGTTTTTACCATTCTGAATTTGGTGCTTTGGGTACTATTGGGCCATGATTCTTTAGAGAAGATTGCTGCAGTGTTCTATAATTTGTTTGTTCGAGTAGATGGGAATTTGAAATCGAACTTAGAACATCAGATTGCAATATTGATGAAGTGTTTTTACCATCTTTTTTTAGTTGATGAAATGGATTCCTTTTTATTCTTAAATTGTTTATCCGAAGGATAGTTGAGAATAAGTTTTGTGGATTGGTTCACTTTTAAATGTTTCGTAATTTTATAAATTGTACAAGACGACACTTATTCGTCTGGTAGCATCTTAACCAAATAAGTTGTTTTGAGCGGATTATCAACTCAACATTTAATCAGTGAAAGCATCACAGTTCTACATTGCTCCTGAAGCAAGTATATGTGGTTTTATGAAGGTTGATACATGTAACTGTCTTTGATTACTGTTATTGACATTATTGACACTTGACTGTTAATTTTGTAGCAATGGAAGTAGAAGATGATACAATAGTTGGCTCTGCTTCCTCTATTATCCTTGAATCTTTGGAATCTACACAGCAGGGAGAAAAGATTTCTGATGAGGAATTGGCTTGGTAAGTTCTTGTCTGGTTACAGATACTGAAATTTTGGAAAGTGATTGGACTTCTTTCAAATATGTTTTGCTGGAGATCATCGGTGACCAACCGGAGACACCTGACCCTTCTGTAACCAGAAGCAACTGGAATCTTGGTGGTACTGAAATCAGTACAGTTCCTTCCATCAAGGAGGAAGAGGCCGACAATTACTTGGAAAAAACTCATGACAATCTTCTTGTCATTCCAATGGACGGCAGCTACGAAACAAACTCCAACAATATTCCTATCAAAAAGAGGTCTGGCACTAAACTGCAATTTCTTCAGGAAGATTCCTCTGAAACATTCCGGGGAGATCCATTTCGGCCCACCTACAAGAAGGAAGAAAGAAAAGCTAATGTGATTGAGTTAGGAATTCAGTCGAGTTTATCAGCAGAGGAGATGAATTCATTGGCTCTGGATATCTTCAGGGTATGAGATTTGGACATTCCAGACGAGGAAGGTGACCTTCTTAAAGAGTTGAACAAGATTGCTGGTAAAGCAATGTCTTCCTTTCAATCAATGGCATTGGCTTTTGATAGTTCAACGGCATGGAAAGACCCGAAAGACGAACCAATGGATGATATAATTGCTGCCATTGCAGATCTGTCTTAAACACTCAAAAGTTTTAGTTAATTTCTCAGCCCACATAAAAATCTAGGCCGAAACTATGTTGTTTCGCCCTCTTATGACATCAACAATGAGGTTTACAAGAGTTTGCTTGTTTCATCAGTTTAGGGATGTCCCATTGCATCGCATAGGATTTCAAATAAGACCAGGCATTGACCCTTTTGAATGATGGGAATGGTTGAGATTTGTTCTAAATTGAGAAAAATATTTTTGGAAAGCTTGATTTGAAATTTAAGTATTTGATATTGTTCTTTTAACGAATTAAATGATATTTGAAAGCTTAAACTGGAATAAGGAAAGAATGCAGACCGCAGGAGGGTGTAAATTGTAACCCCCAGACCGATGCGGGTAGCCCGATCCGATCCGGGAAGTCACATTAGGGTCACCGGAGCGACCCACCGTAAAAATAGCGGAAATTTTAAATTTTTTTATCAGAACATGTAAACTTATAAAATCATTTATCACTATTTAAAAATAAAACAGATTTCCAAACTCGTATAAAAATCAAAATACAATTACATGCCCCCTAATCACAAGTACCATACTCTGCAACCACGCCGGAAGAACTCCCTTACTGAAGTCGATAGATGCACTGGTACAATTGTTTTAACCTGAAAAGGTGAGTAATAGAATGAGCTTTGGAAAGCTCAGTAATACAGAACTACCAGATGATGCTACATGACATGTAGATAAATAGAAAGCCATATAATTTCCTTATTGAATCATATGTATACCAGCTTGTAGAATAATTTGGGGTTCCCTTAGAAGTTCATCGAGTAGAAGCCATGAATCTCAGTTCATAAGAAACCTTTCATACAATCACGTTTTCATGAGGTCAAATAGGATGTCTAGTGTGTTTCATCAATACGATAAAATCATAATAGGTACACTAATCAAATGATAGTTCAGTAAAATCCCATAAACCATATTGTAGTGGAGCTTTTTAAACTCGTATTTTAAAACCATCTTACAAAGAATTAACCTAAGGGAACATCTTAGGGCCTGAGAGCCTACCCAAGATAGATTTCGGGGCCGTGGGGCCTACCTAAGAACACATCTTAGGGCCGCAGGGCCTACCCGAGAATGATCTCAGGGCCGCAGAGCCTACCTAAGTGTCACATTAGGTCCATAAAAATTTTCCAGCTTGATCAGAGCTGTACTTTACAAATATGTATCTCCAAGATACAGTTTATACAATGATACAAATCCATAAGCCATCACCGTTAAGTCGGTGCATCCATAAAACAGAAACCATAGATTTCAGTGTACCACGTGTTAAAACAATAAAACAATTATTTTCAAAATATAAGGAACACACTAGAGAATCCATATATTTTTCAGACGCATTTTGTAGTTATCAATATAGATAACACGAACTTGTGCAATTTGATCAGATTCCAGGAATAAGATCTCATTGAAGAGAATCGATTTCTAACCGATATAATCAGACATTTCTGATTGATACTTTAGAATTCCACTAAGTTTCCATGTGCATCAGGAAAACGTTCAGGAACCTTTTTACATAATAATTCTAAATTCAGATTTACTGCGAGTGATTCCATTACCCAAACAATCAGGGGTATTCAGGAATATACTTTGAATTCATAGGATTTCAGCCCAATTGTACCAAATGAGGTATTCAGAATATTTTCCTTCTGCGTTACTTGCGTTTTCAAACATGACCGAATTGATTTTAGATCAAAATATGTAATCGAAGATTCAAGTCATTTACGATCTATGACTATCGATAGTATTATCAAACAACTCAAGTTACACAACTCACAGACTGATGCATGTCAACAAATCAATTCATTATCCTTCCAATGCATTCACTCTTTAATACCAAAATGCATATCAATATATCATCCCCATAATTATCGCTGAATAGATCTTCCAACGGTCTTTATTACATTTCCATGTTTCAACGATATCAGAAAATATGGACGTACTTGATTCATGTTCATAACCCATAAGGACAATTCATACAATGTTTCCAAACTCATCCAATCACCTATTTAATCCTCGGTCATTGAGGTTACTTAGTTCATTTAGTAAGCAAGTTTATCCCGATTACTTTAGAGTTTTCCAGAATAGTTCAGACATTTCTGAATCTCAAATACATGTTGCACTCCCTTTCAATTCAATTTAGTCATATAATAAAGTCATTCTGGTATTCGTGGTTGATTTATCTCACGAATACCCACTTATTAGTACTGTATGCACTCTAAAGTTGAGCTGAACCAAGTACTTCCAGAATTATCATCGATCCAAATTTGAGAAGACGAACAAACATTCAAGTGGTAATTATATCATTCAGGTAATGATATAGCACTAGCGTTGGTTGATCACTTAAGTTGCGTTCCATAACTTTTACTGGTAGCACAACATCCATGTTTATTTGGATTTCTTAATTAATCCAAGACATTTACTTATTCTAGGTCATAAGGGCATTTTGGTTCTCAACGTTTTTATATTCATTACAAAGCTTTGAGTATATCCATTCATTCATGAGCTTGGTGACATTCTTGAGTCATTTCCATTCCAGGGGTATTTTGGTCATTTTACAGATCCAATGTATTTCCATCATTTCCTTACGTCTGATCTTATTATTTAATTTAATCTTATCACTTACTTCAGTCCTTTCAAACAATTCTGACCAAATAACACATTCGATAAATCATTCTTCAGGTATTTACTCAATTCGGTAATTTCCAGGTTAAATGTCTTTTCAAATGTTACTAACGAATTTTCAGAAAATTTTCCATACAAAGGTAGGATCTCAACAACCAAATCAGTAATTTATCGATTTAAAAACAAATTCTCAGGTTACTCTCTCATTCAGAGTCAACTTGGACTATTTTACCTCTCAAGGGCATTTTCGTAATTTCTTAACCAGATAATTTCGGTATTAACTCTTAACAAAAAAATATAATTTGGAGATCCTATATTAATTGCTTTCCCAAACATTCTTTGATCTTAAAATGATTCTTTAACCGACTTCTAGTATCTTGCACAAACCCTCGGGTTTAAAAACCGGTTATCCGTATTTCCTAAGCAAAACTAGCATTTCTTATGCACATATGAAATTTTACCGAATCAATATATCTTTTCAGAGTTATTAACCAACTTCCAAGGACAATTCTTGTCATCTTACAATATAAGGGTATTTTCAGAATTTTACCCTACCGGAGTATTCTCATAATTTCTCATCCAAGTACCTTTAACATTTAACCTTTGATGATATAAAATATAATTTACAAATCCATGGCCAATTTCTTTATCACAAATCACAACTTGTAATTTAATTCTAACAATCTTTCAATCTCTTATATTAGTCATTCGATCCATATTCAGTTACTGAATTTCTACCACATTCATATCGAGTGTATAAATTATTCAACTCCACAAAAGTGACCAACATTATCTTATCCATGCATTTACCAATATCAACATGTTTCATAAAGCATAAAGAGGTAGTAAAGTATTACCTCGATTTCCGTGCAATACCGATCGACCATAAAAATTCCATTCGAACGCCTTTGATCTTCAATTCAACTTCCAATAATTCCTCAGATACATATCAACATAAATTATATCAGAAACGAAGCTTAATTACGATAAACGGATCGAATTGGGTGATAAATCAGTGAAAGACGGCTTACCGGGTTCGAATTTGACTAAACGGACTTCGGATTCGGATTCAGGACGTCGAAAGCATAAAATATGACTTTTCGGAAATTTGGAATATTCGGTCAAAATCAAAGTCAACGGGTTTGACCGGCAATTTAAAGGTCTTCGGGTTTGAATTTCGAAAAACGGACAGCGGAATCGGATTTGGAACGTCGAAAAATGTCAGGATAGGTATACTCGGTCGAAGTCAAAGGTCGTTTAATGCTCGATCAAAGCCGGTCAAAGTTTTGGTCAACAACGGTCAACGTGGGTCAACGGTCAACGGGTCAACGGGTCAACGGGTCGGGTCGGGTCGGGTCAACTGGTCAGGTAAACGGGTCGGGTAAACGGGTCGGGTCGGGTCGGGTTATGACCGGTCAAACCGGTCAACTATCCACTAAAACCGGTCAAACCGGTCACTTTTGTCTTCCCCACGCGCAGTGGCGGCGCGTGGGGGCGCGTGAACAGTGATAAAATCTCGGAAAAATTTCTAAAAATTATTTTGAGCGATTTCGAGATACTTACAAAGCTCGGTTCACAATTTTGAACGGCGGAGAGCTCGATTTCAACAAATCGGAAACTTTAACCGCTTCACCTCCACACGCGCCGCCGCCGCCGGAGAAAAGGGAGGACACCGGTGGACTCGGAACGGCACAAGGAACACGATGGTGCGGGAGGTGTCGTAAACGGATGACCCGATCGTTGTGAATCGATGAAAAACCAACTAAAACCGAGTTATTACCGACGATACTTCCGACTGAAATTAACGACGAACGGAGATGATTCACGATGAAAGGTTTGAGGGGTTTTGTTCCTCGGTTGACAACGAACACGATGGTGGTTTCGGCTCGTCGATCGGAGGTCGGGCGGCGAGTAGATCGGAGTTCGAAGTAGGGAGAACGGGAGAGGAAAACTGGAAAATTTTCCGCTGAACCTGCGCACGGGGAAACTTATAATTCAACCTATATAAAAATTGGTTAAATCATGACTTTAGCCACTAAACTTCATGCATTTCTTAAAACGGTCTGCCATCTTTGAAATCTGACAATTTAATCCCCAAATTTCTTCCAAATACCAATTAAATCCACCACTTTATAATTTCTTAATTTTAGCCCCTAAATTGGGGTGTTACATAAATAAATGGAATGTTCAATGAAAGGACAAAAACAGTGTTAAACCAATATTAAATGAGCAAATATAAACATGTTTGTACAAGTTAAATAAATAAACTCGAATATCTTCAAAAAAATAAATAAATGATAACGAAAAAAAACGAATCAAATATGAAAGTTTTAAAAAAATAAACAAACAAACACAATAACACAACTTTATTCATTCAAGCTCGATTCTTTTACACTACAAAATACAATCCCAATTCCTACCTTTTATTTCATCAGTTTTTTTTGTTTCAGATGCAACCACTTGTACATGATTTTTTCCTTGACAAATTAAACAAAAATCGTGTATCATTACAAACATACTGATCCATACAATCAATTTGTTTTTTGATGTATTACAACTGTACCAATACCTTGGCTGCCCAACACAATGAAATGTTCAGATGAGCTTCAAACGTGGCTATGGCTCTCCAGTTTCTCAATTTCATAAGAGAGCAATATCAAGATTAACCATTGTAAATCAGCAGCCAAGCACATTTCATGCTACAAAATCATGTACTAAATGAGAGGAAATAAGCCCATGTTCCCGGTTTCCGGGATTTATGCATTCAAAATCTGATGTTTCGGCACTCGATGCTGCAGGATCATATATGCCACCCCCTCTCATTGCAACAAAATTCTGATGACCTCCACTTGATATCGGTATATCGCCACCCTCACAATGCGGCAATCCCAAAGTGAGGGAGACACCGGTTCCATTCCCGAAACTCCCAAATCCGGACATGTGGTAAGCAGTAGCAGCTGCTATAAACTGGCCACTATCGCCATCTGGATGAGAAATTGCATTAGGCAAGAGGTTAGAGTCATCGATATTGGGCCTCTGCTCCTCCCTTGGCTTAAGTAACATGGTTTCAGCTTCTTGTCGCATGACGTTTTGGAAACCAGCTCCAACAATTGGTCCCGTCATATCGACTACACAAGGAACATGACCGGCTTTGGAATCCACCAACTGTCTGGTGTTACTTCCCTCCATGGCCGAAGAACTTCCACTTTGTTGCACCTCTTCACCTCTGTCCCCAGAGGCCATCGTATCGCCTTGTGTTGCTTTGATATCATTTTCGGATGAAGAATTAGAGTCCATTTCTGCATCCGCAAATTCTTCCTTGTACATCTCTTCAACCATAGGCTTCCAGAGACGCACCCGTGCATTTATAAACCAATTGGCAACCTGAATATATCATCGAGGCATAAGCAATGAAGCATATAGAAATTATTTCATCATTTACAGATATTGTCTAAGGAGAGCATACTGATCAATACTAAAAACTGAATTTAATAACGTTTTATGTAAGGAGGCTACTGAATAACTTGATGTTTTTCGGGTGAGTAGAATAGGTCTAATAAAATACCATTTGACTATTCGTCAATTTGGAGGAATTAGATCCCATGTTTTGCAATACGAGTTAGTTGTATTCGTACTCGATACAAAATAGTTTTACCATTTTTTTAGCCATGCTTCCAAGTTCCACCACTAATTTTAAACTTTGAAACCATAATAATAACACTTTCCGAGCAAAGCTTCAAGTGAACACCCCTTGCATGAAACAATCAACATAATCCTAATTTAACAAGCACTGCTAATCACATCTGTATCATCTCATGCTAGTAAGATGATTAGTTTTTGAATACCTGACTTCTAGTCAAGCCTGTCTGTCTGGCTAACATGATCTTATCGGAATCCTTCGGGTAGCTGGATGACAACAGGAACAGAAATAAGTACAACAGGAATAAGATTTGAGATAATAGTAAGGAGTGTTACGTAAAACTTACGGATGAAGAAAATGCTCAAAAAGCCAAGCACGAAGTATTGAAACTGAGCTTTCAGGCAGCCCTCTCTGAGGCCTCCATGCATGTTGTTGCATCATTCCAAGCTGCTGGAGAGTTCTCTGTTGCCGCAGGTGCTGATCCACATAACGCAGACGAGTTATTCCTACTCCTTTACTATTTTCTGAATTATCCTGCTCCCTGAGACTTTCACGTGTTGCCCAAATTTGACCATTAACCGCATCTCGTAAGCACCGGAAGTGGCGGGATATAGTCCGAAGTGCAAGTGCTGTGTATGGTTTAGAGGCTCCACACCCCGCTATCACATCAAATGATGACACCACAATCTGCATCTGATGATAATACTGTTTATACCTTCTATCAACCTGCATCAACAAACTATTTGCTATTAGACATTAACAAGGAGAGAACACATTTTAATTGTCAATACTTATTCTTGCATTTAATCGCTCCTCAGAGTATCTACGAAAAGCTTACATTAATGTGACCCGACTCTTACCTCATCCAACATGGACAACAGCTTTGTTAATTTGTTTTGTAGTTCTTGCCGTTCAGCATGTGAAAGCTGGTTTCGAGAGTTATTGGAGGATTCTTGCTGATTTGAGAGCACTTTTTTTAATCCTCCGTCATCCTCTTTGGAACTCTTCGTCCGGTTTTCTTCCGAGCTTTGGTTTTTCTCTCCATTGCACTGCATTAGAGCCATTCGAACATTAACAACTTCATCAAGCAATTCTTGTGCTGCCTTGAGATATCTGGAATTAGGAATGCCTTTTGAAATACTCGACATTCCATATGCAGATAAATCCCCTTTATTTGAATCTTGGTTGCCTATAGAAAAACCAGGTGGAAGATATTTTGCATTTCTCGACTGTTCGTTCCTGCTGTCACCCTCTCCAGTAAGAGATGGATTAGGACTCAATAAAGAAGCAAAATCCGAATTGAGATTTCGATATGGGACAGAAGACATTTGAATTCCTGAGGGAATTTGGGTTCCAAGGCTTAGGGATAATCCTTGACCTTGCGAGTTTTGACCACTGCGAAGGACACCAGCAGTACCGCCCATTGGATGCATAAGTAATATTTCACTTCTTCCATCCCTCCAAGCACCAAAATCATGCTCCCCAACACACAAGCCACCCAGGCTTGACAAGATTTCTTGCTTCTGTGGAGTCGAATCCGAACTTTCCACAGCCTGAATCCCTGTGCAATCATTTTGTTGCTGAGAATTCCCAGCAAATGCCTCTAAATACGACCCATAATTCATATGCATAATTGTATTACTAGGAAGACTCGTCGACTCTGGAAATGAACCAGGTGCCGGTTCTCTCAAATAGATCATCGGAGCAGCATCCTTTTGATTATTAGAACCATTGTAATATGTAGCCATAATATTTCTCTGCACCTCGAAACTTTCCTGCCCCACCTGTTCAAGCCAAACCTTATATACTCATCCTATGAACCAAAAGCAGGCAATCAAAACGACTTCCATTATAAACAATTTAGAGCCTGTTTAGAAGATAGTCATATAGAACTCAAAACTGAAGAATGAAAAATTTGGAAAGACAAACAACAAAGGGAACTTCGAACAAAAGAGTAAACAAGAATCACACATATATAGATATAGCCAATTCTCTATGCATATATAGTTGGTGAAAAGGGAACAATTATGTGAAATCTACAATCAATTAACATATAATCTCAGGAATTTACAAACAAAAGCTCAAGCCAGGGTAACATAATGAAGAAGAACAAAGTACAAGTGTAATGCGTACAGGGAATAAAGAATCAAATAAAAAAGACAAACCCAGAATTTGTAAATCCCAATAAATTAGTTCCTTGTGATGATAATGGAGACATGAACTAGGGAAAGAAGAGAAGAAAAAGGCAATTTTCCTACAAAAATGAAAGATAATCTGTGAATAAAAAAAATACCTGAAAACCAGTGACAGCTGTGGGGAACAGGAATTCTAAAAAACACTGATTGATAACAAAATCTTTAAGAAACCAAACACTTCGTTATCCCAATAACCCAGAACAAAGAAGCCAACACTTCACTTTTCATCGAGAATTCTGCAGATACGAAACTAAAACAATAAAACAAAGTAAACCACGAAAAAAGGCTTATTTTTTTTAATAAAAAATCATACTCAACGAGAGATAAAGACAGAAGGAGAGAGGAACAAGAAGATAAAGAAAAAAGAGTGAAGAATGAATTATTATAACTTTTTTTGCTCTCTTTTCACTGATCATATATTTTCCCTCCATCATTTCCATGATCAAACCCCACGTGAGAGATTCATATACACAAGCATGAACCCGATGCCCCTTTCCCTTCTAAAGATGATAACTTTATCTCTTTTTTGGAGGAAAAGAAAACATTTTTGCTTTAAGAGGTTGTAATAGTTGGTATTAGTTGACCTCTCTCTCTCTTATTTCATTTTTTTTTTGCTTATTCTTTCAAATTCTTCATCTTTTTCTTCTTTGGGTATTGTTGAGGAAATGTTTGGTTAAAGAGTTTTACCTCTAACAACCAGTTGGTGGACCTAAACCTTCTCTTAACTTGCTCTCTCTCTGTCTCATCCTTCTCCATGGCAGCTCTGGTTTTTCTTTTGCTGCAATATTCACCGCTTATTATGCTTATTCTTTGATTGTCTGATGCTTAATATGATATCACTTTGTTGAATTCTTAAATTATTAAAAATTACGAAATGATATTCCAATAACATAATATGATAGTGGTTTCTTAAATTTTTCGAGTATTAAAAATTATAAAATAATAATTTATATATTTATATATTTTAAATTTATTTTTTATTTTAAAAAATTGATGATTGTCTGAGTTCGATATTAAATTGATAACTGAAATATAATAAAATTATATTTTAATGATGTTTGTAGACATTATTAAAATACAATTTTATTATCGTTACTTTCAAGAATTAACTCGGTGATATAATGTTTTAAGCATTGTTTCGGTAATATAATGTAAATGAAGAGTTGATCCGAAAAATACAGCTTAAATGATTCTATGATTAGATTGTATCGTATCCAATCAACATGTTAATGTCCAGCTCTGATAGTAATCATTTTTAACATAAAATGATGAGTTTTGAACATATATAATTAGATAGTCATTTATAACTTTTAATAGTTAGAGACTTAATAAAATAACTTAGTTGGGACATTATTTGTAACTTTTAATAGTCGGAAAACTAAATAAAGTAACACCCTATAGTCGGGAAATCATTTGTATAATCTACTCTAATTTTATTTTAGAGTAAACTACTCAAATAATTCTTAAATTATTTATCCACCTAACTATATTTTCAATTAAATCATTTAAATATTAAAATATTACCAATCAAGCCATTAGCCTTTAACATAATTACTGATGTAGTCGTTAAAAAACTATATAACTATAAATTTAATCTTCATTATCATTATCATGTATTATATTAATTTGTTCTTAATTTTAATTTAATTCAATAAATTTGATCTTTCAAACTTGGGTAGGTGGAGCTTAGATTCCTAGTGCACCCAAGTTTGATTCCTCTCTTATTATTATTGTGTCATTTATTTTCCTCTAGGCTTAGATAGACAATAAATCAAAATTATTAAATTAAAATTAGGACCAAAACAATAGAAGATAAAAATAATAAGGATTAAATATGTAATAATACAATTTTTTGCTGAGTAGCCTATTTGAAATTTTTGTTTAGTGGTCAAAAAGGAATTACTCCTTGAATTTAGAGGATATTTGAATAGTTTACCCTTTTATTTTCATTTGGTTAATATTTTATTTTATTGATTTAATTGGGAAAGGCGTGGCAGTTGGTGCCCATATCACCGAACTTCTCTTTTTCTTCTAACTAACGTTTAGTTTAGCTTATACTTGTCTTTGGGTATTGTTGAGGATTATGTTTGGTTTAAGAGTATTATCTCTAACAACCAGTTGGTGGACCGAAACCCTTCTCTTCTCTTAACTTCCTCTCTCCATGGCGGCTCTGCTTTTTCTTTTGCTTATTCTTTGATTTTCTTTTGGGTAAACTGTATTTATGTCCACCTAATTATAGTCTCTTTTCATTTTGACCATTACTCTTTTAATTTTATCAATTAGACCACTTAATTATTTAAATGATATCAATTAAACTATATGCCGTTAAGGTTTAACGAAAAATCTTTAACAAAATTGATATAGCTCATGTTTCTTTCGGAGGACAAAGTCCCTTGGTTGCATTAAACCATGAAATATTGACATGTTTTTTTTTTCAGCCATTGGTAAAGCTTTAAACATATTTAGTACAGTTCAAGGAATAATATTGAGATGTACCTCACTCTATCCCATAGCCAAACTTGCTTTCGACCAGGCTTATTGAGTTCATTGAACTCCCTCGATTTAGCTACTATTAGAGTCGATATGTCTGAGGCACACAAATCAGCTGTTGATAGTTTCGTTATATGAGGCTTAATATAAAAAAAATCTCAAATTATACATGTTTTTTTATTTAAGTTTTTTTTCCCGATTAATGTAGGTGTCTAGTGTTATAGATGTTATTATTTTAAATATCTCGACCATAACAATTGTTAAAAGGGACCGTTATCTGACACATGTAATAGTTATATTTTTTTGAAATTTTTATTTTAAAAAAACTTAAAAATTGCCAAAAAAAACACAAATTTTTTTATAATTATAAAAAAAGTTCAAAATATAAAAATCTGTAATCTCAAACTCAATTTCCTATCATCTTGGGCCACAGTGTTAGAATTTGGACAGACCAACTTAAAACCTTTTTTTTAATATAGAGATTTTAATTTAAGTTTTCAAAATTTTGAAAGGTTCTGTTTACATTTTTTTTTGTAAAGATTGAGATTTAACTAAAATTTTTGAAATCTTAAAAAGCTTAATGAAAATATTTAAAAATTATGAGAGATGTTTAATTAAGAACATGAAAAAAATATAAAGTTTAATATGGATTTCTAAAAAATTAACAACATTGAAATTTTTTAAAGCTAAATATGAATTTCTAAAAAAAATTATATACACCAAGTTTTCTTTTTTAAAAGTTTTAGGGTCTGAATTATATTTCTTTTTTCAGATTTTTGGATTGTGGTCCCATAGGTTTCTATTGTGTTCGGTCGACCATCTGTGATCATCATTTCTATCATTACACGCTCACTGTCGCTGATTGACCATCACCTTTATTATCATGCCAAATTACTAAATACATAAATTCCTAAATCCCTAACTCTAAATTTAATGGATATGAATTTAACTAGTATTTATTTATTCCCAACAATCTCACTTGCGTTCTTCATACTTGTCGGGATAGGAATTATAATCAATGGGAAAACCCAAAAGAATCACAAATTACATTGGCATGGAACATAAAGTTGTCTTGCCTATCAAACCATTCTCCCTGCTCTGGGCACCCTCACTATTCTTGCCTATGAAACCCTAACAAGAAATTCCCTCTTTGTTGTTGTTATTATACCTTAATTTCGTAATAGGAACAAAGAAGCACATAAAGTTTGATGGTGTAAGCAATTTGGGCTCATATAATTTTTTCTTCACTTCTTACCTTTTACCTGCTGAGAAGAATCAATCAAAACATGGTTAGGCACTCTCAAAGTTGTTTGTCCTGGTAGGCATATTCCACTATACCCGCATTGCCCGGCAAAGGGCCTCCACCCCCAATTTCCTTAGCTGATGCAACAGCTATTTGAATGTTCCCACTCTCTAAACCCAAATTCAAATGTGTTTTCTCATCTTTGACAAAATGGAGAGGAGAGCCACTAAGATAAACAATTATGGCCTCACCGCCAAGCTGGGGGTTTCTTCAAAGTTCCGAGAAGGGCAGTATCGTGGATTTCCAATTCAGTTTTTGGTTGTATAAATTTTGAAGGATCGTGTAAATTTCATAGGATATTATTCATGTCAAAAATCACACCAAAGCAAGACGATTTTACTTCTAAGACTAGTTTTTCTACCACCAACAAAACTTTATTTTAATTTTCATTAATTTATTTTCAATTAGCACCAACATTTCATTCTGCAGTAATTCTACTTCTAGGGAGCGAAAGTAGTTATGGTGGGGGCAGGAGGGTTTGGCTGCGAGCTTCTCAAGACTCTTGCTCGTTCTCGATTTCAAGATATTCATATAGTAAATCAATGCACTTTTCTTCTTTAATTCTTACAACTGGTTTATCTGTTTTCACTTTCCTCGCTGTTAGTGATGACTAGTGTTATGCATACTATTAAAGTATGTGTAATCTCTCTCCTATTTTACTCGTTATTCTTTCAATTTTTTAATTTACTCACTGAATTTTAAAATTGTTTCTTTTTTTATCACTCTAATTTTTTTTATTATTTTCATATAGTATGACATCTTTATTATTATTTAATATAAAAATAATTTTATTAATATTTCGAAGGTTGACGTTGGTCGACGGTGATTATTTTAAATCTTTTTAAATTTAATAATAATAAAATGTTGTTTTATTATTTAGTTTAAATTGTTTTTATATTAAATAATAATAAAAAAGGCAATTTCATACAAACATAATAATAAAATAATCTAGAGTTATCAAAATAGGAGCAGTTCTAAAGTTAAGTGAGCAAATTAGAAAAAATGAAAGTACAATCATTAAAATAGAAGAGAGAGTAAATTTCATTGAGGAATGGTGTAGTTTACCTTTACAGTTTTTGGTTTTTAAATTTTTGGGTAAATTAAGTAGTTAGTCACCAAACTATCATTTATGTTTTTATTTTGGTCACTATTAGATAATGTCATAACATCATTGAAAAACTAAAAAAACTTGTTTCTAATACACCAAATTTTTGACAAGTGACCAAAATGTAAATTTTAAAAGTTTGAAGGCTAGAGTATAAATTTGAAAACTTTTAGGGACCAAAGTGGTAATTTTACCAAAAAGAAAATTTCTTTCATAAATGAATAGTTTTTCTTTGAAGATGGAGTTTTTATGAAATTCTGATTTTGATCTGGAATGAGTAGAAAAGGTAATAAAGTTCGGTATAGAAATCGGATAATCGGATCAAACCGGAATTTTACGAAAATTTGAAGAGTGCTAAATAATGGTTGGAAATATTTATTTCCATATTTTAGATCAGAGAAATTTAGAACAAAACATTGTAATTTTTCCTATTTGGGTTGAACAATAGAATTTTAGTGATTAAAATGTAATTTTTGAAAATTACATGGTCAAAATAGAAAGTCAAAGCCAAATTGATTCATATTTGAATAATGAATATTTTAATGGAGGATAATGTAATGACATTTGGTAATTATCAAGTTTTATTAATGGTATTTTTGGAATTTCTAATTAAATGAATTTTAAATTCAATTATATTATTATTAAGACAAGCGTAAAGGTGGATAAATACTAGAATAAAC